CTGGCATATTCTGGTTTTTAGAATTAAATTGGCTTATACAAATTCTGATATTAGTTGAAGGGGATATTAGGAACAATATAAATTGATAATGAGGCTAAATGTATGAATGCATTCCAGTGAGGCTCCTAAGAAAAAATGCACATATTCTTTTTAATGCTTTCCCTTTTAATGAATTGTAGTGTGTACAAGACTATTCTGAAGGGGATTTATTCCATTGCAGTAACAAAAAGTTGCTTGACCAATGTAGGAGAGACTTCCACAAAACTTTCCAATTCTGGAGTTCACCTGAGGTTTTCTCCTTTTGGTGAGCTAGCATTGATCCTGGAAATTGCAGCCTAGTGCAGTTGATAAATATCTTTGTACTACTAATACTTGGCCAGAACATGCATCCAACTGGCTGCATTCTGATCCAATTGAAATGTATCAGCTGTCCTTAAAAGCAGCTCTGCTTAAAATCCTTTGCCATATCTAATCTGCATGACATCAGAGCATGACTAACAGAGCATAATTCTAAGCTTTCCACAAAGAGGCAAAGATTATTAGACACAGATAATACTTAGACCACCTTAGACCAACAGTCTCCAACCCTTTCAGCTTTGCGGACCGGCAGGGGGAGGGCAAGAAAGGGTGATTCCATGTGACAGCGGGCAGATGCATCCGCCACTTCCACAAATGGAGCTGTGGGCATACTCATCCACGTGCAAGTGGAGCTGCATGACGCACACTCACTTGCCACTTCTTGTGGCCTAGTTCTGAATGGGCTGCAGCCCTGTAATTAAACTTGGGGACCCCGGCCTTAGACAACTTGGTATCTAGCAGAACTGCTAGCTATGACATTGGTTCTTCAGTGGTAACTCCTTCCAAGATTGGTTGTTATCTATCCATAACATTTCATTTGGGCTAAATATTAGCATACATGTGCACCCAAGCAACTGTTTAAAAATCCTACATCTCCCTGTGGTGAAAAGTAAATATATAGCAGCATGCTGATTAATTGTGTGCCCATCAAGTCCCATATAGGATGATCTGCATACTAAAACAATAATAAACTAAATATGCCTCTTGTCTATTTCATGGTAAAGAACGTAAGTTTCTTTAGCTGGTTAGTTTGCAAATAACACAGATTTTTTTCCCCCTTTCATCTAGACCAGTGTTCCTGTGACATTCAAAAATTCTAAGAAAGGCAATGAAACGTCGAGTGATCCAAGCCTATATCCTGGCTCTCATTGATCCTCCTATGCAGAGGTTTCCAAGCTTGGCAACTTTAAAACTTGTGGACTTCAATTCCTAGAATTCTGGGAGTTGGAAGTCCAAAAATCTTAAAGTTGCCAAGTTTGGGACCCCTGCTCTTATGGATCAGAAGGAATTTTCCCAGAAACATTGCTAATGCTGAAGAATACTTGATGGATCAACAGAATATACATTTTCTCAAAGAAAATACTGCGTCCCGACCTTCAATTAAATATAATTGCAATACTTTGTTTCTGTCACATAAAAATGGTTCTTTGAAATTATTTTTAGGCATAGTGATTTTTTTCCCCCGTGTTGGATTTTGTTTTACTTTTATCTACAGTAGTTTATTAAACTAATCTTTTTTTGAATGAGGAATATACATCAACGTTTTTAAATATGTCATTTAAAATTTCATTGGCTATCTGATAATAACTTTATGAAATATAAAGCTTTTTTTTTTGTAAATAGTAATACTTAAAGAGAACATTCCAAGTACCAAGCCTCGACTATTTTTAAAAACATAGAAGCTCAAGTTTGATATTTTATCATGTCAATGTAAATTAATTGCAAAATATAATTTAATGTTTATTTAATCTATTTCCTTTAAATTAATAATTGAACTTGATTTTTTGTAAAGTTTTAGTGATAAATTTTCAGATGATTTCATAATCAGTATCTTCTGTCTTGTTTGTTGTAATTTTGTAATACCTCCCCAAATTTTGTTTCTAGATACAAATATTGTAAGTTCAGCCTGAAATCTCTAGGATTTGGGTAGTCAGAGTTGGTTTGAGACAGTTCTATGGATGATTGGTTAATTATTCTGTGAGGCTTTTTTCACAAGTTTTAAGTAGTTGGATGTCAGTATGCAATAGCTTTATGAGTTATTTCTCTATTTTATTTCATGAAATATATTGCTTCTTTAACTCCTACAAATTGTCCTTATTGTGAATAGAAAGAAAATACAGTAATTGCTGCTTGTTGTCATATTAATATAAAATCAGCTACAGATCAAAAAGTATTTCCTTGAAAGTTGCTATTCTGATTCTGGCTCCTAAACAAAAACCTGCTATTTTCCCCCTGTTTGTATTGTATCACTTTTACAATATGTACATCAGCTCTGATTTATTTCCTGCTGCCTATCATGCAAGTAACATTATTAGTTATCTAGTTTGGTTGAGTTCTTTTATGAAGATATATGATCTTGGGACTGATGAAGTCATTTTGGGGACTGATGAAGTCATTTTTGATACGCTTCTTTCAATCATTTGTATGATATGGGTGGTCTGATTAACTCAAATACAGGTAGTCCTTGACTTACAACAGTTCATTTAGTGACTGTTCAAAGTTACAACGGCACTGAAAATGTGACTTATGACCATTTTTCACACTTAGGACCTTTGGCAGCATTCCATGGTCATGTGATCAAAATTCAAATGCTTAGCACTGACTCATAAAGGTTGCAGAATCTCAGAGTCATGTGATCACCTTTTGTGACCGACCGTCTGACAAGCAAAGTCAATGGGGAAGCCAGATTCACTTAACAACTGTGTTACTAACAACAACTGCAGTCATTCACAACTGTGGCAAGAAAGATCATAAATGGGGCAAAATTCACTTAAAGTGTGTTTCACTTCATTTGTTGTCATAAATCAAGGATTACCTGTAACTGCATCTGCCACTTTCTATCATTTTGTAAAGTCAATCTGTATGTCCACTTAGGACTATAGTGTAGGTGACATTATTTAGGTACTTTCTGTTTTACTTTACAAAAAAATGTATGTAATAGCATTCTGGTTATTCTTGCTGTAATACATTGATCACTTGCATAGTGCATTTTGCCAGCTGAAAACGTTATATCTGATGCAAATAAATACACCATCCAAGTTTGGAAAATATATGAAAAATTGTCATGTACTCATATATTCCTAGATAAATAAAAAATTAGAGAATTAATATATATATATATTAGACATATCTTGAATTCCTTAAATTATAACTTAATTGTTATATAGTTCTATGATTTCTATTCTTTGCTGAAATTACTTGGGTTCAGGAACTCAATGGGTTTATTTTGGAGTGGACATATATGGGATTATTGGGCTAAAATTACCTTTAAATATACATTTAGAAGAACGAGAATAGATGCATAATCCTTAATAAGCTTATCAGTATTCTGTTTCCAGGGAGATCACAAAAAGACATTAAATCTCTCATTTAGATTCTCTAGCGGTAGTCAGATCATTGCTAGAGTGAATATACAACCAACACAATCAGAGGCCAGTGTCATTCTTCATGAATATCAGTAGGAGATGACCAGTCTGAGCCTGTGGGAGGGATCAACTGTGTCATCGGTCTCAAGTTACTTCACACCCACAAGAGATCCAAGTCCAGCCCACCTTGAATTCTATGACTTATTTACCGCCAATTTGCTTTAAATGTTAATACTTTAGATTCTTGTAGAGAGCATTAGCGTGCAATAAATTTATACATTCATTTGAACTGTCTGGGCTCCAGATTTCCTGCACTTAACAATATCTGTCTTCTTTCATTGTTGCTAGCATGCTACTCAACGTGAGTAAATATGAACTAAGGGGACTTAATGATTATTCCTAATTATTCAAATATCCCTGCAGATGCTTCTTAATAGATCACTGATCCATTTTATTTTGGAATTGGACTATGTACTATATATCATTTTATTGACAAGGTTGCATGACTAATCATTCAATAAACTACTACATTTAGTTTAGCCTTAATTTATGAAGCAAGATGATGGCCTGCAGATGTTTCGTATTTGCCTCATACTATTTGTCATGCTGATGGAATTAAAGGGTATTAGGTTGCCTAACCTGTTTTAATCTGTCAGTTGTAATAAACATTTATGCTGGGTTCTTTTTTCTTAACTTGGTCTCCAAGAAGCAGCAAAAAAAAAAAAAAAACCTCTTGCAACCTTTGATTTAGCGGAGAAGTGGCAACAACGTGGTATGATGAGTATCATCTCTGGATATAAAAAAATGATCAAGGTGATAACAGGTTTTTTTTTCTATTCAGTTTGGGAGGATTACAAATTTTTACAAGGTCTTCATATAATAATAATATACCATAGTTACAGCTTCTGCACAACCAATACCCTGTTTCTCCAACAATACGGCCTCCCCCAATAGGAAGTCCCAGCATGTTTTATAGGCATGAAATGAAATTAAGCCCCTCCCCCAAATTAAGGCCTATATTAAAACATGCGAAATGGGGGGAATGGTGGGGGGGGCTTGCCATTAGGAAGTACTTTTGTTGTACACCCGTATATGGTGCTGCCTGCGTTGACCCCAATATGAAGTGCCCCACCAACGCCGAGGTCAACATCCAAGCCATCGCTGCCCTCCCGAAGATGCAAGGGGGGGGAATTAAGTCACCCCCAAAAAGATGGCCTAGCCATTTTTTCGGGGCTCAAAAAAAAATAAGACCTGGCCTTATTATATGAGAAACACGGTATTTTCTAAAGCTGAGTGGTCTGTTTAACTGAATTTCACTTTATTTTTAAGGATTCAGCTTTAATTGACAATCAGCTCAGGCTTGGGGTCTTCTTGATTCATTTGATTTCTTTTTGTCTAGACAACTGCAGTTGGAAGCATTGACTGTAATATGAGGGGCCCACATTGTTCTGTTACTTGGTCATAACTGATGTTCAGTCCGAGGCTTTGTCACAAGTTATTTTAAGCTACCTGATAGCAGTAACATTGCTCACATACCCCTGCCCCAACTTACACAGCCCGCCTCTCCTGGAAAATATTTAAAGTCAGCTGGATCTTGGCTTGGTCTCTTCAAAAAGATCAAGACGACAAGATACGTACATTTCCTTGTAAGTCTTGCTAAGAAACATTAAGGGGTACAGTCTGCTATTGTTTAGTGCGGGTGGTTCTTCCCCATTGAGAGAAATGGATTGTTAGAATTTCTTTATTACTGTTGCAGGTTTGTTTGTTTTTGGAAAATCTGGAATTTTGGAATTCACATCCCTCCCCACACCCCAAAAAAAACTAGTGTAATGGAGCTGTCTTGCTAGTAAGTTCATGTAATATTACAGTCTAGGATTCTTTTAATGAATACGGTATATTTTCACAATCAGTAGAAACCAGAGAACTCAACCCAATTTGGTCTAGTGTTTAAACCACCCAGCTGGAAACCAAGAAAGTATGAGTTCTTGTCTTGCCGTAGATATGAGAGCTGGCTGCAGAGTTTGGGGTTGATCCCTCTCTTGCTCTTCAACTTAACTCTCAGGGCTGTTGTGGGGAAAATAGGAGGAGAAGGAAGGAAGACTGGCCACTGAAACAAATGAATGATTGCAGGAACTGGTAATGTTTAACAAAGTGAATGACTGGAAAGAGATGCTGGAAAGCTGAATGCAAACTTCAGGTAGTTTTTCTGCATTTCTGAAATAAGATAAAAGGAAAGATCTCAATAAAATCTTGGAGTTACTGCCACTCTGGGAGAACAGTTCTCCTGTGATCTGTATCTTTTAAAAAGTGCCACTGTGTTGTGAAACACTGAATTCTATTTGTAATCATTTTCTGAGGAAGAAAAATTGAAGCTACATGCCTTAAATTATATTCCACTGAAATCAATTGCTTGGATTATTCTATGCAGTTTTTAGACAAACGATAAAGATACTCCAGTTTCAAGGTTACAGATCTCTCTGTAAGTTTGCTGAAGAAAATCAAATGTTTTTTGCAGGACAGATTGAGAGGAAGGAATTTTTCAATTCATTTGTACTACATACAACAGCTCTTATTTTCTCTGTACCAGAAAGAATTTTAATCAACAGGTATTGTCTTAATTTGGGAGGAGAAATTTTTCATGTATGTAGATGATATTTAATATGCAGGGTTGCTTCCATGATTCTTTAGGTTCTTGCATGTATTTCCCTTTGGTTGACTTGTGTTCGGCCTATATGGTAAGGGACTACATTCCTTCCACCAACTTCAGGCTTATAAATTGGAGGCAATTTTTTTATACAGATGTACCCTTGGAATAACAAGAGTTTTCTATAGCCCAAAGTTTCTTTTACATTCTTGGCAGATTAGAGAAGGTACAACCCAGAAGTGAAGAGAGAGAGGGAGGGAGGGAGGGAGGAAGAGAGAAAGAAAGAGGAGATTTACTTTTTATTTTATTGACCCATGGTGTAATGGACTGATTGAACTGACCATTATCATATATTCTGCAGGTAGTTGGAAAAAATAGTTTGCCAAGTATTCCCAGCCAGAAGTAATGTTGATTATGCCATTACACAAATCAAACTAAGGTATGGATATATTTGACTGAATTCAAGAGAACAACCCCTGAGCCAAAATTTAACACAGGGAGAATACAGGAAGATAGTATATGATTATTTCTATTACTTGTGTTTAACTCTGCCTCAATATAGTATAATTCCAATATTTCATCTTATATTTTAAATTGGGAAGCTGGTAATGTAACTCATTTTTGTATTATTCTTAGGCATAATACTTTTCTCTCTAGTTCCCTTTTTCTGTGACATCAAGATGGCCAATTTTTTAGGAGCAAAATGCTCAGTGAATCTCAATGCTATTTCTGACTTGGTTAAAAAAAAATCTTAATAGTGTTTTGGTCCAGTGTCAGTTAGATAAGCTATCTCTTAGGGAAAAACTATAATAAGAAAGTGATTTGCTTGCCAAGAGGGTTAAAAGATGGACTGAGCCAGAAGTTCCCAACTGGTCATAATGTAACAGACTAAGGCTAGAAAATATGACTCACCAAGACATCAAGAAAAGAGTATGAGCAATGCAGGTCTTTTCTGTGACATATCTAAAATAAAGGGCAAGGAAAAGGTCAGTTATATTTGCTTGCTGCAGCCTACTAGCCAACATCGTTATTGTCCCATAGAAATGTTTTTCTGTGTGGATTTACTGACAATATCACTCACCTAACTTAGAAAGGCAGAGGCAAAGCGCATTGGATCCCCTTTTTCTTCCATTGAATCACGGAACATTTGGAATGCAACATGGATGACAATTCAAATACCACTTGAGTTTATTTGTATTTGTCCCAGACAGGATGGAACACAAAAATTTTAAATCTGGAATCAGAGTGTAACCATAGTACCTTAACTAGAATTGATACTGTTGATGTTTGGGTATGCTATTAGCTTCCCAAATTTAGTAATAGCTAGAGTTATTTTTTCAGCTCCTTTTTGTGCCATTTGGAAAATCTGTAATGCAGGGAGGTCAAACTCACGGCATCACAGCATCACTGCCACTAACTCAACGCACAAGTTTTCACAGTGGCTCTAAGTTCAAGGTAGTAACAGTGTTCTGTTCTTGATTATTATCTTATCTGGCTTTCCCCCCTACTATTAAACACTAATAAAGATTTTCCAATCTCTAGTTCCTCTTGTGTGCCACAATTTTCCACTTCCACAATTCCCTGGAATGATCGTTCCAAGGGATATCATGACAGATTATATGGGATGGTGGCACCCAGGAAGGGAGGGCCTCTACTGCAAGATGGTGGGCAGAACCTCTTACATGTTTGGTAACTTTCACAATCCTTGAGGATTTTTATCAGCTATTTTTCATCCTCTTCTTATTTTTCAGACTTGACCCTTCATAAAAGATTAAAAGGAGATTCTTACATTTATGATGCATCTCAATTCCCATAATTTAAATTTGCCAACCAAACCAGATTCAAGGCCTACATTTTTGTGGGACTCATCCTAAGTATGCCATATCTTGACTGCAGCAAAGAAAGAGAGAAAATTCCTTTTCTCTGTCATCTAGTGGTTGCCTGAATGTTTGTAGCCATATACAGTCGTTCCAACTGAGAGCTCCATTATGACACAGCTGGATAATTCGCATAGCATCATGTTAAAATGTTTTAGTATATCACGCTGGAGGACTAATTTCTACTAATTATGTTTCATTTATTTCTGGATTTAAAGGTGCCAGCTCAAGCCAATTGAAAAATTCAAAGATGCCAAATTGGGGAGGTGGAGCCAAATGTGGTGCCTGTGACAAAACAGTCTACCATGCTGAGGAAATTCAGTGTAATGGACGGAGTTTTCATAAGACATGTTTCCTATGCAGTAAGTTTATGTTTCTTCTTTCACTAAACAGTTGTAGATTGTTATTCCTCATTGTGACTCCTGGAATAATAGCTAATATCCTTTATTTCTGCCTACCAAAAGAGCAGCTTAAAAGTAATTATTGTATTCAAAAGTCATATTCATGAATGAATAATTACTAAATAATACATCAGTCCTTCATTCTTATAGTTTTGAGAAACCTATTTCATAGTGCTTGAGATAACATCTTTTACAGAGCCATAACATCACTCAAGTGGATTAACTCACAGAGCATTATGTCATAATGTTAGCAATAGCAATAGCACTTAGACTTATATACCGCTTAATAGTGCTTAATAGCACTCTCTGAGTCTAAGCGGTTTACAGAATCAATATATCGCCCCCCAACAATCTGGGTCTTCATTTTACTGACCTCGGAAATATTATGCTTCATTAAATAATCTGTAAAAGGTGAGCTTCCATAAAATTAGTTATAAATTCCTTTATTAACCACAATTTTTAGGACCATACAACATAATAAGCCAGAATTGATTGGCTCAGAGTCATTGATTGAGATGGATGACTACAGAAATTGTAAACAAACAAATAAATAAATAAGCTGATAAAAAGTAAATTAAAAAAATAAGCAATATTACGACATAGCATGATGTGTGAATCCAATTGCAGCAAGGGAAGGAGCCTTCAAGGTACTCTGGTCCAATTTTCTACTAATGTAGAATATCCATTACTACGACTTCCAAGAAGGTTTGAATAGCAACTCTTCACTTAAAATACTCTGGGGTCAAAAAATGTATGACGTTTATGTGATAGTTAAATCGGCATATTTTCAGTTACTTCTATTTGCTGACATCTCTGTTTTGTTTATGAATAGTGCCATGTTGGATAACATAAAGATTCACTTTCGGAGAAACAAGCTTGAATTCAGTATTTCTAGTCAACTAGAAGTTCTACATTGTAGTTATCTAAGATCTATAATGAGTCCCCTAGCGCTCCTCCAAAAATTTATATCAAACACTAATTTTAATATGACAAAAGAAAAATATTTATTTATCCAACTATTTTGCCTGGAGGTGTCTCTAGGCAGCTTACAAATATTATTAGATGCATGGATACATTTTATATCTATTTAATCTTGATTTTCAATAGCATTAATATGGTTTTTCTCCTGGCCTTCCTCATTTTAAAGACTAATGAATGTCTTGCCACAAGAAAGATTGTATATTACACTGTTAGAAAATAGATGTTTTTTTCATTCATGACCCTGATAATTAGTTAGATGTCTCTATCCATGTTTATAGTAAGTTTTGACTGTTGAAAAAATAATCAGTGTTTTTGGAGACTGAAGGAGTGAAGGAGAATAAGGAGACCGAATAATCACTACTGACATAAATTATATGACATCATAACTGATAGAATAGTTTACAGTCAGTCTGTGCTAGGATCTATGAAGAATCCAGATGTTGAATATGTTGCATCAAATCAATTAGAAAACAGACTTTGATAAAAGAATAATTTAGCAACCGAAAGAAAGGCTAATGGTTGGTGGGGAGACAAGAATCTGTACTGTATTCTTTCCAATCTTTCTCAAAAGGTGGACATTTGCTTTAATATTCAACACAACCTCCTTTCCTATAATTGAAACTGACATTCTTGTGGCTAGAACAAAGGAATAGCAGTTTTAAAGTACACGAGAGTTGATTTATGGCAAAACGTTAGGAAAAGCTTCCTGTCTCTTAAATCCCTGATCTGTAATTGATTTTCTCAAAATAATGGTCTATCTACTGTTCACACCCAATGGATGGCTGAAGATCTGATTTCTTTCCTTAATACCTTCTCCTCAGAGTTGACGGCTAAGAATGAGGCAGCCCCCCTTTCTCTCTGTTTGCCAGATACGAGGGGGGGAAAAGTCTTTTATACAATGTCTTTTAATGTGCAACATTAGATTTTATTATAGGGACTTTTACACTGCAACTGCATCCTCATTATCTGAGAGTTAAATTCTTATTAAACTTAATAGACCATACTTCTGCATGCAAGGCATCAAGGTTGCTGCTGCTTGGTTGGTTGCATCATAAGTTTACATTAATTCCTGTAGCAAATGTTTGTGAGATAGGTTTGTTGTTTAAATTGTTATATCATTTTATGGTGTGTTCACACAGCTTGATGTATAATTAGTAGGAAAGTCATATAAATAATAAATCGCCTTCAGTCATTAATTTTGTGGAACAATGTTGGCAGAAAACACAGCCTCTCCTGTATGTGTGTGTGTGGGGGGGGATTCTACCCCTTATGATGTGACTTGCTGTCATTAACACCTCTGATTTGTCCAAGTCAGTTTTGACTTAAAGGGCATCTGTGGTGGCTGTGTGGCTCAATCACAATTTGTCAACTTCAAACTACTTTTCTGACAGATGAGTCTTCTCAGCCAGCACAGAAGGCTTTGGGGCCATCTGTTGCAGTTCCAAAGAGGCCAAAAATAGAAGCACTTTATCTGCTGCTGGAGCTATCCCTTAACAATTCACAGAGCAAACGTCATTATCTTTTCTTCCCAGATGAGAATGTAAAATAGTCAAGGGAAACATTCACAAAATCACAGAACATTATTTCTTTAGTGGGCTCAATTTTATCCGTTCCAATTTGCTTCAACTGAATCAACTTTTATTTGGTGATCTTAATGCACTGGAGAAAATTTATTTGTAACATCTGTGAATATCTGCCTTGCTTTCCTTAAGACAAATATGAAACATTTGCAATGGCCTTTGTTAATTTCGTAAGCGAATTAAGTTACAGTCATATAGCTACCAATATGATTGCAATATAGTCAGAATAAATCTCATTTTTGTTCCACGGGGGTAGTGGTGGAATTCAGAAAAGTATTACTTCCCACAATTGTGACCCAGACGTAGCCTGTAAATATACATTGCCAAAATACAAATAAAGCTTAATTTGCATTAGACTTCAAAGGATCTATAAGTATTCAAAGCACTTCACATAATCTTAAGGAACTTTGTAATGGTGTTTTACAAGGTCGACATGCTTCATGACCTCCACTTCAAAGCTGGATAGGCAGACATGGTTTGTGGCTGGTAAGGGATATGAAAGAGAAGCTGTCCCATGCATAATATTTATTATAATACCGCACTTGCTCAAAGTGTGTTTTTGTTGGGGAAATGTTCTCCTCAAATAGGTAGTATTTGTATTAGAAATAGAAAATTAGAATTTTATAAGACTTAAGTAAAGATTAAAACATTAAAGGTTTAATAATGATAGATTTTAAGATTTAATAAAATATTAAAAGGAATGTTTAAAATATTTAGTTTAAGTATAGAGTTTAATTGACCATTGTGTGGATGATAGTATGAACTTATTATTGTAGTATTTGTTTTTGAATTAGATAATTGGAATGTTATGAGATTTAATGTTTAATTATATATTTAATTACTTTATGGACTTACTATTTTCTTTCTTTCTTAAAAATTTAGTTAGGTAGAGTGTACTAAGCAGAATCAGATAGGTGTTACCTTAAATGTTAATTTAGGGGAGCGATGGAAAGGCATCATACTTCGATTAGTGATTTCAGGAGAAATCTTTTTTTTTTTTTCTACTATAGGGAATGAGATAAATGGATAATTGGAAAAGAATGGACAAAAGATACAAGTATAATGATTTAAATTAAGATGAAATAAACAAAATAGAATTAAGAAGAGTGGAAAGCGGGGAGAAGTTATAATGAAGATATAGAATGGTAAATAAGATAGGTAATGGTATATATGATGAGCATAAATTTAATTGAAGTCCATACAAAGAGAGATAATCCGGGGCCAAGCTACTTTTTAAAAAAGAAGTTTTATGTTTTTGTGTTTTGTGTGTGTATGTCTGTTTGAGACTTAATAAAACCTTGGAGGAAAGCTAGAGGAGAATAATTGTAAACAAGACAGAGGGAAATATGAATATGATGATTATAAAATGGATAAATAAAAAAGAAATGTAACTGAATAAGAGCAAAGAGAAATAATGAGAAATCTGCTAAAAGATATCAGAACTATATTGTATAAAATAATGTTTTATCTGCCTTGTAAAAATTTATAATGGAAAGAGGTTTAATGTCTTTAACGTTTAATGATGTTTTGTTTGTCTTTAAATATTAATAAAATTTGTTAAAAAAAAAAAAGCTGGATAGGCAGACATGGTTTGTGGCTGGTAAGGGATATGAAAGAGAAGCTGTCCCATGCATAATATTTATTATAATACCGCACTTGCTCAAAGTGTGTTTTTGTTGGGGAAATGTTCTCCTCAAATAGGCAAACTTAATGTAGCTGAGCTTTGTAGAAGATCCAGGTCCAGTGGGCACCCAGATTTAGTTTCCTTTGGAGAAAAGTATCACTAGAGGTTTAATAGCATTTCTGTAATACTTCTTTAGTTATAAATCTATCTGCAGCTAGCCATGGCTTAAAGTTGCAACAGAGCACTCAAGAACATAGGACCAACTCTCCCAAGAGACCTTAAGAATTTCTGAACTCAAAGCTTTCTGTCCTTGTCACCATCAATGAATTCTAGCTTGAATTCTAGTTTTTATTCTTCCCGTGTATGTTATCTTTCTCATGGGCTGTAATGGTGAGGAAAACAAACATGTATTTTCCATCCTAGTTTTTCTGAACCCATGAATACTTCTCATTTCTCTAACAGTAGATGCAATTAGTTTATATTGTCTTTGATGATTACATGGGAAACTTGTAGTGTCCTCATTTTCAAACCTCCAATGCAGATTAGTAAAATGCAGGTGTCTCTGTTTGAAGATCAGGACCATAATGTGTGTTTTCATCTTTCTTTCTCAGTGGGTTGCCGGAAAGCTCTGGACAGCACAACAGTAGCAGCTCATGAATCTGAAATCTACTGCAAAACATGTTATGGGAGGAAATATGGCCCCAAAGGAGTTGGCTTTGGGCAAGGCGCCGGTTGTCTCAGCACGGACACAGGAGAACATCTGGGACTGGATTTACAGCAGCAGTGAGTGAAATTCTGGGTCATTTTATAATTATAGCTGTGGTTGCATTCAGTCATTTGGCTCAGTTTCCATAACAACATGCTGGAGAAATAGTTCTCTGGTTGTTTTTCTTTAATTGATACAATCATTTTCCTAAAACCATTTTAATGAGGCTTAGTCCTTCAGGGGTATTACTTTAAAATGATTACCTATTATGTTGGGTAATTGTGCTACCATACTGAAAGAATACTTTCTTTATATGGCACCAGGAAATGAAGTCTTATTTACATATATTTTACATTTTGTAAAAAAAACCCTAGAAATCTAAATGTTAACTCTTTGAGCTGGAGGCCGAGCCCTCCTGACTTCCAAGAGCTCTATATATATCACATAGCTGAATATTGCATTAATGGTAATTACACAATGAATGGATTATGGTTATTTATTTATTTGATTTCTATTCACCTTTACTTTGTATAATTCAAGGTGGCATAATTATGTCCTCTCCTTAAATTATCCCAACAACAACCTTGATTACTTTGTCCAGTCACATTATCCTGAAATTTTCCTCACTCTTGAAGTAGTCCCAGCATAATCTGCTGATTATTTTCCTTTTAGGATACAGTGATCCTATTAATTATAAAGTATGGTCTTTTATTTCCAGAAGCCCTCCTTTATATTTAGTTATTTTTCAAAAACTAACTTTTGTCGTTTATTTCAGTCATTTAATTTTTACAAAACAAATGGGATCCCTTGACACCCAGTCTTTTTCATTTATATGAAACTGAATGTTCTTTCTAAAATAAGTTTACATATACTGTTTGATTTTAGGTATTTTATGAAAATATGTGCTTTTGTAAAGTTCTCTTGGTTTTTAGTGTTGAATTTGACTTTGTAAAGCAAAGTTATAAACATAACCATTTTTTTTTCTTTATGAACCTCTTTCAAATTAGCCCTCTTTTCAGATTTATTTTTTTCTAAGAAAAAGTAGTCACTGTATTCTAACCTGAAGTAGAATATTTTTTTTGAGTATCTAAGATTAAGCATTACCTGCTGCTCTATAAAGTTCCATGTTCATATTTCTATAATATAAGTAGAAATAGCAATAGGATTTAGACTTATATACTGCTTCACAGTACTTTACAGCCCTCCCTAAGCAGTTTACAGAATCAGTATATTGCCCCTAACAATCTGGGTTTTACTGACAATTTTACTGACCCTGGAAGGCTGGAAGGCTGAGTCAACCTTGAGCTGGTGAGAACCGAACTTCTGGCAGCTGGCAGTCAGCAGAAGTAATCTGCAGTTCTGCATTCTAACACAGCCCTAAAGACAGAGAAAATATCATCCTAATTGCAAGCTCTGAGAGCACCAAGGACCCTTTGCCTTGAACGTCTGTAAAATGATTTTTACCAGTTGTGGGAACTTAATATGGAGGGCACTATAAGGGCAAGGCATTCCCAAGCATAGGGTCCAATATACTTTTGGCCTCATTTCTTCTGAAATCTGCAATAACCATAATACTACATGGTTCTATGACACAAGCCTTTGTCTTTTATGTCTTTTATTCTTTTATTCTGTCTTTTATTCTGAAATTTCACCAGGTGCCTTTGCTTTTGAATGGTGCCTTTAATGTCTCTAATTCCTTTACATTTTATCTGTGTTAAATTTGTAGCTATGGTTCATTGAACCTACAAAAATCTGTATATTTATTATTCTTCAAAATACCACACTTTGTGTGATTTTGTTGCTCACATCTTTTTAGCCATTAAGAATAGTTACTTTTATATTTCTATTATTCTTCATATTTATCAGGATTTGTCAAAGGAATAGATCTTCCTCTTTTACTTCACGCTGACCATGAACAATTGAACATTCTGCTATGAACTATGGTCAGCATGAAGTCAGCAACTGTGTTTGAAAGAACAGCCTGGCAATAAATTCTTTAATATGTATAGTTCTTGTGTTACATTGCTAATACTGGTGGC